GGGAGATGCCTGTAAAATGTGCGAGGCAACTGGGCTGAACTCTAGCATTGAGTGTGCAGGGCTCCCTCGACCTCTCCCTGCTTACCCTCGCGGCTTCTGCCAGGCGGGCGCCTGATCTGATCACCGCCGTGGAGGCCCCTGAAATGTGGAGGCCCCAGGCGCGCGCCTCCTGCGCCTGTGCGGAAATCCGCCGCTGGATCTATGCAATATGACCAATACAGGGCAAATATCTTCTCATCATGTACAAGAGTTTATAATGTGATGCATGCACAGGCACACTGCCCAAGTCTTTTTGTGGCCACGAGAGGCCCTCCTGACCAGGATTGTTGAAAACAGACTGCACAGTTTCCTGATATTTTGTCACGAGAAGTATTCAAAACTGTAGGAGAAGCCCTAAGACACTCATCTCTGTGAAAAGGCAAAGCCCAAAATTTCTTGCAAAAAATCTGTTCCATCTCTTAGCAGTCTTCAGTTCCTGTCCTCACAATTATGAGAGTGGACACCACTAATTTAAATGATTGTGTAAAGGTTCCCCCCCCCCCCTAGATTGTGATGCCTGCTAAATTATATGCAGTGGAAAGTTTCTCCTGCAGTGGAAAGTTTCTCAAGTTAAATGCTTGAGGTAGTTCTGGTTGTGGTGACTCACCAGAATGCCATGATGAGCCTAACATTTTTAAACAAGATCTTAAACTGTTTTGATTGAAATTCTTCCCCCCCCCAGAGATACACACATTTCTTAGAATGCTATAAGTTGGGACACAATTTGCAACCATTGGTTAGTAAATAAATAATAGTAATCTATCAGAGAGGAATATTTCACAATGACCATACTCCTCTGTGTTTCTACTACTACCTAGGTCCTAATCCTTAGGACTTGTAAGTTAGACACGTGATAAAAAATTTATATATTTTGGCTATTTCAGATAGATCCGCTAGACAGGAATACATGCATGCTATAGACATGTACTTTGTCTTTTATTTCTCTTTTATTGGTTTGCCTTATCATAGATACCTTTCCTCCTTTTTCAGAAGATTAAATATTCTTCTTTGGAAGCCAATCTGCCACGAGATGAGTAAAGTGAAATTTTGCACCAGGATAATAAACCCAAAACAAAAGTTCATTGTAATACATTTTGTGAAGATGTTCTCACATTTCCTTCATATCCAGTCAGAAATCAACTCCTTACACTTGTGGTCAACTGACCGATTAGAGTTGAGTTTTTATTAGAAGAATCAAAACTCTTATTTTACTTTATTTTACAATCAAAGGAGCCTGAATATGCTCAGGGCAATAATGTTTCAGTTCAGCGGAGTTCATAACTGATGACTGGATTGAGAGCTAAGGTAGTGGGATAATTCGAAATCTATTTATACCTTTAGGATTACTTTTATGGCAGATTTGATTTTGAAAACGTTTCATGCACATTACCAAGAACCAAAACATATATCCTTAGCCACATAGTGAGCCACACATTGAATTATACAAGGACATTTATATGTCCTTTACATAGAGTTTATTGAACGACATGGCCTAGAGGTGAAGATGCTTGCCTCACTGTCAGGAGGTTGAGAGTTCAATCCTAGGCAGTTACAGATGTTTCTCTATCAGGGTGCAAAGAGAAAATGTCTTCTGCATAGGCATCAGGCAGAAAACATTCAGCTTCGTTCAGTTGTCCCAGTTCCACTCTGATAAAAAAGGGGTTACAGGGCTATAAAAAGAATAAACAAATTATATACAGTATATTGTTGTTGTTAGTTGCGAAATTGTGTCCGACCCATCGTGACCCCATGGACAATGTTCCTCCAGGCCTTCCTGTCTTCTACTATCTTCTGGAGTCCATTTAAGCTCACGCCTACTGCTTCAGTGACTCCATCCAGCCACCTCATTCTCCGTCGTCCCCTTCTTCTATTGCCCTCAATCTTTTCCAGCATTAGGCTCTTCTCTGGTGAGTCCTTCTTTCTCATTAGGTGGCCAAAGTATTTGAGTTTCAAATATAGTATATTACTTTACTACAAATAGTTTGTATATTTGGAAAAGATCTTTAATGTATATGTAGAAGATTGCTTACAAGGTTGTACATATTCTTCAGAAGTGGTGTTTCACAGGGCACAGGAACACGTAAGGCACATGTCTCTGGATGATTAAAGTAGCCCTGCCTTTTTTTTCCTGGTAGTGCAGCTTTGATAGTTGCTCCTGGCTGTTTTCACATGTCAAAGCATTTTGCTTTACTAAGGGGAAAGAATGGAAGAAGGCCAAACTGAAGGGACTCTTTTGAATACATCCCCAATGTTGTTTAATTTTGACTATTTGCACCATGAGGCACAGTCAGTTTCTTAATCCAAACTATTGTGGTGTGATCTTGTATAGTTACATTAGCCTGCTGAACCCTGGCCTATTATTTTTTTTAATTACCGTATTTATTGGCGTATAACACGCACTTTCCCCCCCTGAAAATAGGGGGCAAATGATGTGTGCGTGTTATACGCCGATATAAGCGCTCCGCCGCCCGGCCCCACCTTTAAGGTTTTTTTCCTGAAATTTCCCTCTTAAAATGAAGGTGCGTGTTATACGCCTGTGCGTGTTATACGCCGATAAATACGGTAATTGACCTTTTTCTAGCCCTAATTTGATATATTAATACATTTTACTTTTCCCCCTACAATTCATTTTTCTGAAAGTAGCTTCCATCACCTTCACAAAGATGAATAATTCCTCTTGAATTTCCTTTCATGTTTTCTTGAAACCAAACTTAAGTAACTTTGGTGAGATCTGCCATCAATGTGAACATATTATCTCATTTCTTAAAATGGCCAATGATTTTTAAAATCAAATTTTATGTTCAGGCATGACTTGAAAATTCTTCCACTGATTTCTGAATAATTTAATGTCCTGCTAAATCTAATTTCTTTGCAAATGTCATCCCATTCTGTTTACGAATAACCAAAGAAAATTGCTACTATAGATGCTACTGCTAGTCCGTGAGTGAGATGAGCATTTTCTAGATTTGATATTTAAATAAATAATGTATGGGAGAATGGGACGACAATGCATAGTATGATCAGGCATACTAAGTCATTGGATGCATCTTGGCTACCCTCCACCTGGTATATTTATATACAATCCGAAGATATTGCAGATGTAGCAGGGCTGCTTCAACAAATCATATTTAACTGAACATGAAGGCTTAAGACTTGTGGACTTCAAGTCCCAGAATTCCCCAGCCAGCATGTCTGGCTGGGGAATTCTGGGACTTGAAGTCCACAGATCTTAAAGTTGTCAAGATTGGACACACCTGACTTAGAGGCTGAAATTCTCTTGTGTATCTATTGCAAAGCAAAACACCTTGTTTCTTAAAGACTAGTTTGAACTTAGAAAGTATAATTTAGAGCTGTATGGAAACCAGGATTTCAATAGTAGAAAATATATGTAGCTCAGAATTGAACTGTTGGGGTCTTGGGGGTTTGAGAGAGAAACTCCTGCAGGGAAACAACCAAACTCAGAGAATCCCCAAGAATCCCAGTCAGAATTCTGAAACCATTTCTCCAAAAATACCAATATCTAAACTCATGTTTAAGCCCTCTTCATCGCTTTGCTTGTTGAATCATCATTTTTTTTCTTCATAAACCCGCTTGAGTTTTCCCTACTCTGAAGTTTCCCCATGTTTACATTCTCAGCACAGAAAAGATATTAGTGTACACAGTAGCACTTCTGTCATGTTTCTCTTTCAGTGATCTAAGGCTTCACTTGAAAAGGCCAGCTTCTGGGAAATAAGCGCACATTTAGTGTGACTTTAGCTTAAGGCCTTCCTTTGAGGAGACATTCCTAGGGACAAGAATGTGGAGCACGGCTGCAAACACCAAGTTCTTGAAGACTAGAAGATGTTGTCCTTGTTTTACACAAAAACAGCCAGCCAGTCTGAAGACCCAGGAGGAGTGAAAGGTCAATATTTTCTTTTGTTTTATCAGCTACCACAAGCTGAATAGCTGCCTTTGTCATTTCCAAAGGTTTCTCCTCCCTTTTTACTCAGGAAAAAAAAAAGACCTAGTAGTAACGCCACTCCAATTTACATCATGAACGAAGGATTACAGACCCACATTTTTCTCTCTCCTCTTTTACATATTTGCTACAATTTATTTTGCTACAAAATACCTCGTGGACAATGCTGTTTAGAGAGAAACTATTAATCCTACAAACTGTTTACAAATATTTGTATAATGAAAGAGCTGAAATCTTTGCAATATACATTGTGTGCAATATACACTGTTTACCCTCCCCCTTTACTGGAAGATCTAGCATACTCTATCCAATTTTGATTTAGCAAATAAATTTTAAATCTGTGCTAAGTCCATAATGCTTCTATATAATATTTATAGGCACAGTCATGCTTAAAGCATGCAGGGTCTTTTTTTTAAAAAAAGTGCAGCGTTTAATTTACTAAGCATCTATTTATTTGGCTGCATGTCTTTTTTATTCCTCTGCTTTGGGGTCTGGCAAGGATAGGATTCCTACGGAAACTTGGCTTCATCCTCCTAAGGAAAGCATAGTTGAGATAATCACAAGTATTTACATATGTATAAGCAAAATTCTTACTACGCTCCCAGCTTGCACTTCAAGATAGACAGTGGTTCCTCCCCACCCCTCGCGGTTCCTTCTTTCTTTTTTTGACAGCCAGTTAATAAAGACTCAACAATAAGCAGCTGCTTGTGATGTCATTTGGGACTTTGTCCACAGAGCTTGTATTTACAAGTACTGAGCCGCAGAAAAACTAACTGGCAGCAAACTTTATGTCTGCAGTTACAGTAGGACTTTCAACTGTGCTCATGATGAACTTGAGAGCTCACTCAGTCCTCCACACCAGAAATTTTTAAGGCTTGATAAATAAACACAGCATTTACTCAAGAGGATTCTGGACTGCAGGAAACTTCCACAGGTTTTTCATTTCTCTAGTACTGGAACAAGTTTTAATGGAGCAACAAGCAAGTAAGGGGTTTATTGTTGTTATTATTATTATTTGCACATTTCTGATTCTTTTCTTGTCAGTCTGTTTACTAAGCTGGGGGTTAATATTAATTATCAAACTGGCAACTGTGTTGCTGTTAGGCAGAATTATAGTTAGATGGTTCAATATGTTTTGTGCTTTTTCTCATAAAACAGGAATGTCAAAGCTGAGCATGAGTTTGATTTTGACTTCAGATTTTATGGATATGTTTAGCTGTGCCTCTTTTTTGGGGTAATTGATTCATCTGTCTACAATTTTAAGGCTAAAGCTGTAATGAATATTTTGTCACTAGCTAAATATTGAATTTGAAATCACTCATCTACTTTTTATACTTTTGGGTTATCGCTCAAATTATATTAGATAAGTGCTTCAAAATTGGACTATCTATTTTGATGTATTTAGACTTAGAAAAAAATACAGATCTGCCCTGATCCATGGCACATAGGTTTTGAAAAATTTCAGGTCATCAAAAAAAGAAGTATGAAACTATACATGCGAAAAGCCCTTTATTAACCGCTGAACATGAAAGTTTGTATGATGTTACCAATAGTGCATAGGATGGAACATGACTGAGGAATGTTCAGTTTAATCTTTAGTAGTGGGAAGGAGCAGCTTCAAATCAAAATTGCTGCATGCTACTGCAACATAAATTTTCAGAAAGCTTGGTGTACATTAATCCAAAATTACAAATAAAGCTGCATGAAATATTTACTAGAGAGCAAGCAGAAAAAAGATGATGTGAATTTGCCATGCTGTCCCTTCTCACCCTCTGGGCAATCTTACTACTTACTCATGTTGACATGGAAGAGAACGTAATAGGATTTAATGGGACTTAATCCCTTGTAAATCTGTCTAGAATTTGAGCTTTTGGATACAATCCCCAATGCACTTCCCTGGAGATAAGCCCCCTTTATGCCAAATGGGTATACTTCTGAACGATCGTCCATAGGATTGTACTTTTAATCATTAAAGTCCCCATAGATATTTCATGGAATAATATATTTTACAATAATTTCTCATCCTTTCTTCCTATGCAAAAAGAGGTTGTTCTCAACCATTGCTCCTACCACCTCATAGAGGCAGAGAAGATGGTCAAAATACCTTCTTGTGTTCCCTCACCCTCTTTCTGTACTCTCTCTTCATAAGAATTCCATACTTTCAGCTTTGCCTGACCTTTTAAATTTCATAATTCTGATGAATCTTTTGGAACAAACTGTTCATATGTTTGCCATCCTGTGATTCACTTTTCACTCTAAGGACACTGATTCCACAGACCTAAAGGGGTAGGTAAGATACAAGTACACATGAAAACCAAGCCCCCACATCTTCAATATAGAATAGGTTTATTCAACCCATATCACCCAAGCCTTTTGTAATGGGCTAAGTTGAATTATTTTCATATTCTTTCTTATTTTAGTTTCACCTTGGGTTTCCTTTGATCATTGCTTAAAGTTTTTTTTGATCCCCAACCCACAAATTCTATGCCTATTTATTCAGAATGTTCTCAGCACCTTATTTATTTAATAATAATTCTATCTGTTTCTTTCATTTCATTGGAAACAATCCCAAACCAAGTAAGGAAGAAAATACAGTAAGGGGCTTTGTAAGATTGTAAGATTGAAGACAAAGCTAGATAATCTGTGGTTCATTCTCATTTGTACTTCCCCACAAAGCTCTCTCAGATAACACCACTGGAATTCAGCATCAAACCCACCATTTTTCACTAGTGTGATCTGATCTTAGCAAAATAACAAACCAAAAACCCACCACACCAAATATTTCTGTTAGATCTCTATGAGGCTTAACAAACCCAGTTTAAATCCCCAGACTTCCCTTGGGAAGAAGAGTTAATGAATGGAAAATGTAGCTCTTGGTTGCAAAAACCATTGCCCACCTCAAGTTTAGGATGTAAAGAATTTAAAATAAGGTGTTTACAAGTCCTGTGGATATCACTGTGACGGGTTTTAGATCCTAACAAGCAGTACATTTAAATATATATACTAATGCAATTAGTAATGTATAATTAATTGTCCTTAATTGTAATTAAGATAAAGACCTTTACCAACCAATAGGGTAGTCCTTTGCATATAGTAGCACTTTTAAAAAATATCTGTGGATTTTTATTATTTAAATATTATTATATTATATAAATATTATATATAAATATTTGGAAATGCTAATTACTTCAGCATGTGTTTAACGTAAGCATGAATTTATCTGAAATGTTTCTGTGCGGATCTTCTCTACACATTTCACAATTTTATTCTAATATTTATAAAATAAATAATACCACGTATAAGTCACCATATTTTTATCTTGAGAATATTCTTCATTGACTGTGTGTGCACATATAAAGAGTGTTAAGTCCATCCAATGTGTCAGTCCAGATACATTGAGTATAAATTTGGTGATTCTGACAAAATATAAAGTACCCTTCTTGTTAGAATTCTCTAGGAACAAAATAAGATTAGACAGAAGCAAACATTTGTATAGTTCACAGGGTGGATAAATAAATCTGATTTTGGACCCAAGGAAGAGTTACTAGGGTTCTCAAGGTGGCATATAACCTTTGACCTTGGCCTCAAGGTTCTATCCTAGTGCTTAAAGGCTATGTAGGTTTGGATGGAGAGGAATCCTCTTTGATTCAATCAAGATTGACCTTGGATGGGGGTCATACTTCTCCATTAAAGAATGATGGACAATCTGTGATACTCACATCTCCTAGATGAACAGGAGGCCAAGAAGACCATTGTGTGACTTCATCTGATCCACCAGTTGGACCATTTCCTAAATTGGGAGGCCCTTCAGATAGTCACTTATCACTCAGTTATTGCAATGTGTTCTACATAGGGCTGACCTTGAAGACCACTCAAAAACTTCAACTAGTCCAGAATGCAGCAGGTTGGCAGTGCTGGGCATGCATCAGTATGCCCATGTGATACTGTTTTGCAATCTGCACTGGTTCCTGTTATGATTCTGGTTGTGATTCAAGGTGCTAGTTATATAGTGACCTATATAGTCCTACAAGGCATAGATCCTAATTACTTGAGGCACCTATCTTCGATGGATTGAATCAATCCAATAGAGTTGACAAGCTTGGGGTCCTTTCAGTTAAAGAGTATTATTTGCAAGACCCTAGAAGCATCCTTCTCTCCCACAGCATCTGGTCTCTGTAATGAGATTTCCCCCGATACCATGTGAGTCCCACCCTGCTGACATTCTGGAAAATCTTAAACACCTAGATGTTCTTCCAAGCTAGGGTGCTTGGGGGCCCCTTCTGGATTGTGTGTTGGTGAGGTTGCCATTTTTTTTGCGACTTACTCTTTTATTCTCTTATAAGTATTGTATTTTGTTTTTATGTTAGTTAGTTTTATTGTACACTGGCCAAAGTCAGTTGAAGTTGGGCGATATCCAAATGGAATAAATCAAATTAAACAGAAGAGTAAAATTATACTTAGTACACTTCCATGCTGCTATTATTTGAATTTCTTAAACCTTGGAAGCAATCTGAAGACGATCTTTCATTTTTTCTGATTTAAATGTTTCTGAGAAGAGAGGATAAAGGCCTGCACTGAGCTCCAGCAAAATCTGCAGCAACATATCTTCCAACCTTTACTTCCACCTCCATATGAAAGGAAGAGGGGGAAAAAAAACTCCAGAGCTTAGCATTTTGGTTTCTTCTTCCAGTGATGAAATAAAGCAGGATATTGACACCCTACATCTCAGTGTGATCCCTGTTTCTTTTATTGGCTATGAGAAAGAATTACACAGCCCTCAAATATGAAAAGGCCTGGAGTTCCAGAACTGGAAGGAGAGATTTTAAAAGTATCTTTTCCAATGCTGAAAGGGGTCTACAGTTTCCCCAAAACAAAACAAAATAACAAAACAAAAATACCCTACCTTTGGAGCACTTTCAGCTGCACTACACTTGAGCTAGAAATTAATCAACCAACAACACTAGTAAGGTAATAAGAACATTGAAATCCAGACCTCCTTTGAAGCGGCCCACAATACTTGCACAGAAGTGCCTTAATCTATAACAAAAACAGACCCAGAGAGATAGAATTAAGCTATAATGGGAGTTGCTTGTTTGCGGCTTACTTCAGTGTATGAATCTGGTTTGTAAAGCATGGTTTGTGGCTTAGTGAAGCCACAAATAAGTCATTTGTGACTTACTCAACAGTTAAGCAAACCATAGATCAATGTAATATATAAACCAGACAGTGTAATATGTGAAGCAGACTGTAAGAAAAGGGAGAAAGAAATCTTGCTGGTTCTTATTCTCTGAGGGAAAATGGAAAAAGGAATTATGATTTAAGGATGCGAGACAGATACCTCGTTGGAAACTGACTCAGCTAAGGAGGAGGTAAAGGGCCTGTTGGGAGAATGACAAAGACAAATTCTTGAAAGGCAGAGAAAACAAAATGCAATTGTATGGGTTTTTCCTTGTTAACACAGGTACAGATTCAGGTCAAAAGACTCCTAAGTTATTGGATTTGTAGTGCTTTACCTCATTCCCTTCTAAAGCTTAATTCAACTGATAGCATAGTGATGCATGGCAATGTTAAGAGGCTTCATCCTATCTGACTACTGGTTGAGATTATTTCCTTATCAATATGAATAAGGGGGAAACCTCAGCTTTAATTAACTTTCTATTGCCAAATCTCTACTTGGCTAATATATCAATTAGTGAATGATTTTCATTCTCCTGGCAATAGTTAACCATTCACCTGCTCTCATGCTTGGGTTTAAAGCAGAATGGACCATTGTACAAATTAGAGCCAACAGGATGTGGTGAAATTGGTATTACATCTAAAAAAGAATCTCTGAATTTAAAGTCAACTAGAAATGAGGTAAATATTATGGTGTACCACAGGGCTTGGTGCTCTCTTTGTTCCTATTCAACAACTGCAAGAGGCCGCTGGGCGCCCTCATCTGCCACGATGGGCGTGAGGCATACTAACATACTAACAGCATACTA